ATTCATATATATATATATATATATATATATATATATATATATATAAACTTCAAATATTACGAAAAATATAAATATTCATATATTATTAATGATTACATCATACACAATATTTACAATTCTGGAATAATAATGCTTGGCTTGAGCCATATAAAGAATTTGTGTGCATTTGTACCTGTTCAAAAAATGTCTAAATATTATAAATATGTTCTAAATACTCTAAATATTTTAATATACTACATTCATATTATGAATTATTAGAAAAATATTCATATATTATTTATGATCACGACATTTACGGTGTTCACAATTCTGTAATAATAATGCTTGACTTGAGGAATAGCTTTTTGCAATTTGATAAACTTTCTAATTTTGTTTATTAATATGTTTTGTAAACTTCAAATGTTATGAAAAAGATAAATATTCATGTATTATGAATGATTACATAATTCGCATTGTTCACAATTTTGGAATAATAATGCTTGACTTGAACCATACAATTTTTTTCCAATTTGCTAAACTGCCTAAATATGTTTAATATGTTTGAATATTTTGTAAACTTCAAAAATGATGAAAACATTATGCATTATTAATGATCACATCATTCACAATGTTCACAATTCTGGAATTATAATGCTTGACTTCGACCAAACGTTTGTAGACATGTTGTTAAGCTTTCTAAATATGATTAATCGAAGTATTTTGAAAACATCAAAAAATATGATATATCTCCATACATTATGAATTATTACATCATTCACAATGTTCATAATTCAGGGAGTGTTTCCAGACCCTTTGGCTATTTGAAACAGACCCCAGCAGTTTAAGAAGCACTGCCAAATAACAAAATAATATTATGTGAAATTGAAGAGCAGTAGAGTCTTCTTCAAGATTTAAAGGCGAATTAATCTTTATTGTTTAAAATGACAATACGTACTGTGATGAGTGATTGTGAGTGTCTGTTGTAGAATAATCCCTGCTTGAATGGAGGTGCGTGTTACTCCATGTGGGATGATTTCACGTGCAGCTGCCCACCCAATACAGCGGGACAGTGCTGTGAGGAGGTCAGGTGGTGCGAGCTGTCCCCATGTCCGTCCACTGCCTCGTGTCAAACCCACGCTCAGGGCTTTGAATGTCAGTATGAACATGTTGTCCTTATCTGAACTATGAATACTTTTCTAATTGAAAGCGGTAAAGAAAGGTTGATGACGTCTCAGCATTAATACATCTGTGGTACCTATCCAGAGTTCAGTTATATAATTGATAATTGTCATGTGTAGCTATACTGGGGATTTATGAAAGCTTGAAAGATTATCCTTTGTTGGATTTGCCACGCCATATGTGCTTGTCCTGAGACGGTGCATTTGAGCGTGTTAATGGCATAAACATATGTTGCAGGGAAGAAATTGAATATGGTGTTCAGAGGTTACACTTTGAAAGTAAAAAGAAAAAAAAGGTCTGTTTATTCATGCTTGGCTTGCTAAAACAGGTAGCACCCTTAGGATTCAGTCTTCTAGATTTAAGATCCTATGAATCCCGTTTGTTTTAATCATCTTTGAGATGACTTGTGGAACATTCATGTGAATAAGCATAACTAGAAGTATTTTGAACTATAGGATTTTACTATTACTATTTACGGTTACACTTTATTTTGATAGTCCACTTTAGACATTCTACTAACTATAAGTAAATTTGTAGCTACATGTCAACTACATGTCAAGTAATTCTCATTAATTAGCAACTACATGTCTACTAACTCTCAGAGTAGACTGTTAGGTTAGGGTTAGGGTTAGTAGAATAAGTTGACATATACTTGTAAAGTTTCTCATAGTCAGTATGTTGTACGTAGTGAACCCATCAAAAGAAAGTGTTAGAAGATATTAAGCAGACAGTCTACTAATACTCTAATGACTGCTAGTTGACTTGTAGTTGCAAAGCTAATGTCTAAAGTGGACTATCTAAATAAAGTGTTACCCTATTTACTATTAGGATTTTTATAAATTTATTTATTTATACATACTTTACATACATGCAAACTGAGGGAAATTTGAGAGCTGTTACTTAATTTGAACTTGAATCATATAGAAAATGTATGCTATAATAGTTCAACAAAGTACTGAACAGGATTATTTTAGTTAACCAAACTACAAAATAAAACAATAATAAAAGATTAAATAAACAAAATAGGCCTATATGTTAACTGAAATAATATAAAATCTCTCTAAAATAAAAGAAAACAAACTTTTTTTTCAGCCAGATGCAAAGGCAACACTTCTCATTTTAATTTAGTTGAACTTGATGTGCTAAAAAACTAAAAAAAAACAAAATACAAAATTAAACTTAAAACTGTAACTTAAAATGAAACTGTAACTACACAAAACATTGCCAAAACAGCAGTTTAATCCAATGTTAAAGTAAGTAAACTTTTACATAAAAAGTGTGAAACACTGTGAAGGCAAATAAGATATGTAGTTGCTTATGGAAGCAACTTCTGAATCAGCTGAGGATTCTGTTTATATACTGTATGTGAAAAAAATTACTAAAGCACTGATGATTTTTTTTCCTGTCTGCTTTGCAGGTTTGGTCAATGTTAGCCTCCGCAGCGACAGCCACATAATCACCTATCGTGGCAATGGAAAAATATGGCGATACCTCAGCAGCATTTCAATACATTTCCGTACCAGGCACCAGAATGCGACTCTACTGCATGCTGAGCGCGATTCTCAGTTCATTACCATTTCCATTCACGATGGGCACATAGTTTTAGAGCTGCAGGGAGAAAAACGAACCTCCTATGTGTATATCCACAGCCTGGACCTGGTGAATGATGGTCAGTGGCACACGGCAGACTTCAGCATGGACAGCCCAGTCCTCCAGTCATCCAGATGGAGAATAGTTCTGGACGAGCGCTGGGAGAAACCCTCCATCTCCTTCATAGCCTCAGGAGATCTGGATTTCCTCCGAGAAGATGTGGACATCATCTTAGGAGGCTTGGGACCCGATTCGAAGGGTAACTTCGCTGGCTGTCTCGGTTTGGTGGAGATCGGAGGCCTTGCATTGCCATATTACAGTGACATGGAGATGAACCAGCCCAGACCCCAGGAAGAGCGGTTTCTGAGGACTTCTGGGACTCCCTACTTCGGCTGCTGGGGATCTAATGTCTGTGAGCCTGACCCTTGCAAGAATGGAGGGGTTTGTGAAGATCTGTTCGACCTTTTCAAGTGCCATTGCCCATCTGATTGGGATGGCCAGCGTTGTGAATTCACTGTAGATGACTGTGCATCAAACCCATGTGTTCACGGAGCCTGCAGAGTGATCTCAGCTGGATTCGAGTGCTCGTGTGATGCAGGCTACACCGGCCGGCGCTGTGAAACGGAGGTGGACATATGCGCCCACCACAAGTGCAGCAATGGAGGAACATGCCTAAGAGGATTGAAACGCTACTCATGTCTCTGTCCAAGAAACACGACGGGCCCTTTCTGCAGGTGAATATGTTTCCCATGCTCATTACTCACTCTTAAAAATAAAGGTTCTTTAATGGCATCGATGGTTCCATGAAGAACCTAGAACATCCAAGGAACCTTTCAAACGCAGAAAAGTTTCTTTATAGTGGAAAAAGGTTCTTTCGATTTTTAAAATGTTCTTCAAAATAGTTCACTGTTCACTGAAAGATTCTTTGGGAAACCAAAAATGGTTCTTCTATGGCATCACTGCAAAAACACCCTTTTGGGGCCTTTATTTTTAAGAGTGCTGCAATGCATCTCGACAGATGAAGTCTTCAGCAATATCCTGTTAGATATGCATGCATGCATGTAATGTTTCATTAATGTTTTTTTTTTATTTCAGGGAGAGAGTTCCAGAACTTCCATGGTATAACGACAGGTTTCCGTGAGTTTGATTTCTGAAAATAAATATTAATTATCGAACTGGGGGCTAGAATGGGATTCTTGGAGGTCTGGGAAAAAAAGCATATTACACATGTTACATGTACTTACTATAGTAATAAGTTAAGGGATAATGTACATCCAGCCAGTAGTTATTGCAGAATAAACCCCAACATGGTGATTGCAAGTAAATAATTACAAAATATTACTTATCACACAAGTAAATAATTAGACATGAAATATTGATTTAAATGTAAAAATATTTTATTAGTTCTTTAAACGCAAAGCTTCCAAAAAAGAAATACAAACGGCCTTGAGCACAGACTAACAAACAAGTTCAGACAAGACGGACATTTATGGCATAATGTACAGTCGAATCACTAATTGCACAGCTTTTCACCTCATAAATAAAGATGAGGACACAATAAAATGTTATTTGAGAAGAAGGCGTTTTAAAATCTTACCTGTTTATTACCTTAAAATTGATTATAGCATACAAAACAATTGTTCCGGCAGCAAGATGAACACCAATATTTCCACATTAATATTATTTCGCATAAATATTACAAATAATAATATTACTGCAGGTCTACTATTAAAACTGAAGCCCTTCGATTTCATTTGACTGTAAATACAGTCGATAAATACTCAAATATCCAGATGAGCGGTGTATTAGTCGCCATTGACGACGGCTGATATTGGCAGGGGCAGACTTTGGAGATTTGGATCTATGTGGTCTTTTATGCCTAACCCTTATTTTGCTCGCTCGCTCTCATAGTTTATAGTTTATTTATCCCTTTACAACCAGTAAATATTTAGTCTACCTGATGCTGATCTAAAGCCATATTATGCTAGCTTATTTTATTACAGATCACAAAAGAAGACATTTCTTCCTTTTTTCCTCTTTTTTTTTCTGTCAATATTTAATCCTGGACTTTTATCCCTCAATGATCGAGTGACTGTTCCAGCTTTCCATTATCAAACCCATATAGCAGATTTCTTTAGCAAATCTTTAAACTATTCGCAAAAATTAGAGCATCAAAATAAATATACTTTTAAAGAAATAGTTTTGAAACTAATACGGTAATATTTTTTTGTATCCAGCAACTGTATATTTTAGTTTGTTTCAAACTGAATGAATGGCCATTTTCTGAACGAAAACTGAATGAATTTTGTTTTGTTGCTGAGATCAGAATATCACAAATTAAAAGTTATTAAGGTAAATGTTTGATGTTCTTTTTTTAAAAATGGAATTATGTAGAAATATAGACCATAAAATAGCATATTAATTCTGCAGGTTTGCAAGCATCCCTTATATTGTTGACCACTGTACAGTATTTGAACTGGATTTCTGCAATAGTCCGGCAAATAGAGTCCCTTCAGAAAAACAAGTTTGCATGTAGTTTTGTTTGCTTTTCATTGTTAGGAGTTCGATAAGCACGGCAAAAACACTTCTTAGAAGCACCTTTAGAAGTAAGTGTTTGAAATCGGACAAAATTTTGCTAAAAAGTTCAGCAAATCAAAGGCTTTTACTTTTCCGATTATATTTGTTAAAACGGCATGCATAGCATGAACACATTCAAAAAAACTTTCAATAATGACTTTATAGGAAGCTGGATGTTTTCAATCAGGCTCCATGTTCGTTTGATCACCAAGGACGTGGTCAAAGTTTAGAAGCACCACAGCTTCCCCAAACCAAACTTCAATTTGAACTCCCACTCAAATTGCACAGTTCCATTTGTTTTGGCACCCAAAGATGGTTCACTGGTGTCATTTACGTAACAGAAGCCAGAATATCTTTACATTGACCATGTGGTCAAGACTAAAGTACAGTGTATATATATACAGCAAACCAAACTCGGTCACCTTCTGTCCGCACATTGACTTCAGGAGATCAGGTTGTTGTTCAGCATGCAGCTCTGCGCTACGCTCACTGTTCTCGGGCTCCTGGTAACAGGGTCACGGGCGCAGGGGTTGATGCCCACCATCAGCTTGCCCCCCTGTGATTCCCCTGAGGCTGAAGCAGCGGCTCTGGTGGCACAGGGATTCCTCAACACTCAGCACACACACGGTTACAAATATGTCTTAAATCAAATTGACGAAATCAAGATCGTCTCCAGGGTAAGACATCGGATGATCGTGAACAATGCTTGTGTGATGGTGGTTGTAACAGTCATGTGGTGTGTGAGAGTTAGTAACACTGGTTTTAAAAATGTAGAGTGTATTATACAACTATTTCGTCCACTGAAATGTTTTAAGAATATGAATACACTTTACGGATTGTTTAAATAAAGCTACAGTATTTGTTGCACACTTGTGATGCGCTTCTGAATATGTAACATTGTGATAAAACATTGTGTTTTTATATCTACACTACAATTTTAAAATATATATTTTTTTATTACTGATATAAATGGGGCTTTAAGATTCAAATGTCTTTTTGTAGCCACTTCAAGCAGACACGTACCATTTGGAGCTAGATTTTCTTGAAACTACGTGTCATGTCTTGGATCCAACAGCTGTGAGCCTTTGTCCAGTCAGACAAAAAATTAATACGGTGAGAACTATATTCATGTGTGCTGTCGTAAATGTTGTATTGCAATTAATTAAGTATATTTCTGGTTCTCTTCTAGGCAGTTGAGGCAGATTGTGATTTTGTACTGGCAAATACAACTCAAGGTCTGTCTGTTGTGGCATTCAAGTGTAAAACTGAGACAGGTAAGAGGAAAACGCAAATCATTGTAAAAACAAAACAAATGCATTTGTCTTCACCTGATCGCAGTGCAGAGAGGAGACGCTTTGTTTTTTGTTGTGTCTAGAATCAGAAGATGAATGCTTAGGCTGCCCTCAACTCGTTCCATTAAATGACACCGATGGCCTCCAACTCATTGAAACCTCTTTAGATCATTTCAATAAAAATAATCCTCTAAACACAAAGTTTGCACTCCTTGAAATTGGACGCATGGGATCCCAGGTAACGTACATGGAATACTCAAAATTATCCTCAGACAGCTTCCAATAGACAATATGGTACTGTTTTCTATTTTTTTGCAGATTGTCAGTGGCGGACCCAGGTACTTTGCAGAATATGCCATTATTGGGACTAACTGCACAAGTCAAGATGATGATATATGCATCCCTCAGAATCATACTGTTGCTGTAAGAATATTGAAATATCTTTGAGTGCGAGAGACTTTGGCTGGTGTGCAACTGTGTAAATACTTGTGTCAAAGTCAACATGAAACCAAGCCCTCTTCATTTTTAACCCCCACCCCGTTTATTCTGCATGCCCACTTTTCATGATCCAGTCAAATCCCACGGATAAAATGAAGCCCTACGTTTTTTTCCTGTTGAATATCCTGTTTAGCCAGAAATCACATCAGATTACAGAAGCAAAATGGGTTGAACTGTCTTTCATGTTGACTTCAAAGTGACTAATCCATTTTTTTTGACTATTTTTAGATTCATGGACTATGTCTAGCTGAAGGTTCTGCCAATGGTGTTGACTGCAAAATCTTTGCCCCAGTAAATACCACTTTATTATTTCACATTAATGAAATACAATAATTGTAAATAAAGCAAATTTAATGGCTGCATTTAAAGGGTCATGAAACCCCCGTTTCAGCACTGGTTAGTTCTCACCAGTTTTAAAAAATTCTAAAAAAAAAAAAAAAAAAAGTGGGCGTGGTGCGAATCGGTTGGAGACAGACAACACACACAGCTTCAGGGTTCAGTTTCATTTCACTCCCATCGAGTTAAAAACACAAATAAATGCACAGCCATTTGCACTCTACATTGAAAACATATATAGGAGCGCGCTGTTGCACCTCTGATAACTTTTAAGGCTTATTCTGTGGCATTTATATAAGCCTTTTGATGGGTTGTGTCACGGAGCTGTAAAAGCGGTTACACACACTAAGTGAATGAATCGCGTTTGTGCCGAACTCTTATTACAAAACAAAAACAAACACTCTTCTTCGATCCAAGAACGTTTCTCTCAGTTAATGTGCGCGATCTCAGTCTGAAGCGTCTGTCATAGCAAATCAACACATGCTGTTGTGAATAATTAAGCGAAGCGTCTTCTCATAGGATAAGAACACGCAGTCTCATGAATAATTTAATAGACACCGACGCGTCATCGATGTACTATAGTCCATTGCCACGTCACGAATTGTGACGTCAACACGATGTAGATTTTAAACCCAGAAGATGAAAATAGCGCAAAAAAAGCTTAAAATTAACCAGTTTTCTCCAACAGTTAAAATTATCGGATGCTAGCATTGTCTTCTATGATGTGCAACACAAACACCTCTGCTAAAATCTTAGAAAAAGTAGTCTGGGGTTTCATGACCCTTTAATCAATATTTGATTTATGTTAAATCAAACACACAAACTGCAGTGGTAAGTTTATTGTGTTTTTTCTTCATCAGAACTTAATTACTGATCAAAAAATCAAAAGAATCATAAAATCGAGTAGACTTGACAGGAATTATTGGGACAAGTTAAATTAATGTAAACAAAGATGTTCTTAAATGTAGTAAAAATCACATTGAGCTGAATTCTTTTGGTCAATTACACCATTTATTTTTAAGACAACCTTAATGGTGAAGTGTGTAATTTATGTGCCTCTAGTAACACCACTTTGAATTGCAAAAATAAAAGTAGGTTTCTAACATTCCTCAGTACCAATCAGGCAAAAGTCCAAAAGCTGTCACTGGGGCGATACCTTTTCAAAAAGTACACATTTGTACCTAATTTACCCCTAAAAGGTGCATATTAGTACCTTAAAGGTATAATACCAGTCAATTCCGTTTGGCACCATTACTGGCACAGAAATTACACCCTTGATCTTTAAACGTCAAACTCAGATTAAGCTAAAGCAGAGAGTTAAAGACACTATACAACTTTATTAATTCCTTTATTCATGACAGACCCAAGCGAGCAATGCCACAGTGCGAGTCCAACAGCTTCTGCATGCACACACCTTTGGACCTCAGCACAACCCCGCCATTCATGGCCTCAAACATCACAAGCTGACAGCACTCCATGACCCTTCGGCAAGTGGTCTGCTCTCTGCAGAATCCAACGAATTGGCTGAGGTCATGGTAGTGCCAGTGCCAAAGGAGGCTCCTGTTGTAAAGAGGGAGGTCGCTGCACCGGAAGGGCCAGCCGTAGATGCAACAGTGTCAGCAAAAGCAACCCTTCTTTCAGGGCCGATTCTCCGTACTCCTATTTGTCCAGGAAAAAAGAAACATTTCTGACCTAGTCACATTTCATGAACCAACACAGATAATATTAACTTGTCTTGTTGAGTTCTGAGGTTGCCACCAAACTCATAAGTGCATTCAGGTGTAAATGTTTTATAACAGGTACACGTATAAACAAAACTGGCCTTCTTGTTGCTAAAATCTTAGAAAAAGTAGTCTGGGGTTTCATGACCCTTTAATCAATATTTGATTTATGTTAAATCAAACACACAAACTGCAGTGGTAAGTTTATTGTGTTTTTTCTTCATCAGAACTTAATTACTGATCAAAAAATCAAAAGAATCATAAAATCGAGTAGACTTGACAGGAATTATTGGGACAAGTTAAATTAATGTAAACAAAGATGTTCTTAAATGTAGTAAAAATCACATTGAGCTGAATTCTTTTGGTCAATTACACCATTTATTTTTAAGACAACCTTAATGGTGAAGTGTGTAATTTATGTGCCTCTAGTAACACCACTTTGAATTGCAAAAATAAAAGTAGGTTTCTAACATTCCTCAGTACCAATCAGGCAAAAGTCCAAAAGCTGTCACTGGGGCGATACCTTTTCAAAAAGTACACATTTGTACCTAATTTACCCCTAAAAGGTGCATATTAGTACCTTAAAGGTATAATACCAGTCAATTCCGTTTGGCACCATTACTGGCACAGAAATTACACCCTTGATCTTTAAACGTCAAACTCAGATTAAGCTAAAGCAGAGAGTTAAAGACACTATACAACTTTATTAATTCCTTTATTCATGACAGACCCAAGCGAGCAATGCCACAGTGCGAGTCCAACAGCTTCTGCATGCACACACCTTTGGACCTCAGCACAACCCCGCCATTCATGGCCTCAAACATCACAAGCTGACAGCACTCCATGACCCTTCGGCAAGTGGTCTGCTCTCTGCAGAATCCAACGAATTGGCTGAGGTCATGGTAGTGCCAGTGCCAAAGGAGGCTCCTGTTGTAAAGAGGGAGGTCGCTGCACCGGAAGGGCCAGCCGTAGATGCAACAGTGTCAGCAAAAGCAACCCTTCTTTCAGGGCCGATTCTCCGTACTCCTATTTGTCCAGGAAAAAAGAAACATTTCTGACCTAGTCACATTTCATGAACCAACACAGATAATATTAACTTGTCTTGTTGAGTTCTGAGGTTGCCACCAAACTCATAAGTGCATTCAGGTGTAAATGTTTTATAACAGGTACACGTATAAACAAAACTGGCCTTCTTGTTATGGAAGCAATCAAGGCTGTGCCTGTGTTGTACTGTGGTGCTGTAATAAAATGTTTCCCAGCCTAATGTAGATGTTTATCCATCTGTGTTCAGTGTGTTTTTTTCTATAAATGATCAGTTTTCACCTTATGGAATTGTGAAATAGTTAGAATATCCTGCATTAAGAAAAAACCCTTAATGCTGTCATACTGTCACATGATGGTGGCCATATCTTCATCATGCTCTTCACAGAAATGGCTTTGAGGAAATATTTTGTCCATGGACACTATATGTCAAATATCCTTTCGATGTGCAACATTCAAATAACTAAACTGAAAATTGTCAAAAAGAATTTAAAAAAAAACTTGATCTAAGAAAACGAAGTTAACTACTCTTTGGTTTCTGGTAGAGATTGATCATGTTTCTCAGCTAAACTCTGCTGGAAGCTGGTTCTCCATGGAACTCCAAATCAACTTATTTTTAATAATCAGCTGAACAAATTTGTGCATATAGAGTCTCAGAGAGGTTTATACTTACGTTACCCTAAAAAAAATAAGGACTCAATATAATGAACTCAACAACTTACAAAGACAACAAATCAGGGTTTTAAAAGAAAGGCCGAGAACAGTTTTCCCACTCAAACACTTTTATTATTAGTTCACACTGTTTCCAGCTCTCCAGATTCCTCAGCCTACAGTGGATGGATGCCTCAAATAACCTATATAAAACAAATAAAAAAAGCAAATATTTTGTCCATGGACACTATATTTCAAATATCCTTTCGATGTGCAACATTCAAATAACTAAACTGAAAATTGTCAAAAAGAATTAAAAAAAAAACTTGATCTAAGAAAACGAAGTTAACTACTCTTTGGTTTCTGGTAGAGATTGATCATGTTTCTCAGCTAAACTCTGCTGGAAGCTGGTTCTCCATGGAACTCCAAATCAACTTATTTTTAATAATCAGCTGAACAAATTTGTGCATATAGAGTCTCAGAGAGGTTTATACTTACGTTACCCTAAAAAAAATAAGGACTCAATATAATGAACTCAACAACTTACAAAGACAACAAATCAGGGTTTTAAAAGAAAGGCCGAGAACAGTTTTCCCACTCAAACACTTTTATTATTAGTTCACACTGTTTCCAGCTCTCCAGATTCCTCAGCCTACAGTGGATGGATGCCTCAAATAACCTATATAAAACAAATAAAAAAAGCAATTTAACAATGGTTATGCTGCACCATTTTGGTCAATTTACAGTACACCAAAAACTGGTTCACCTACCATCTGTTTTAGAGCTGGAGAGCAATGCATCCTTGTTTGATTGAACACCTAGTGCGTGTTAAATAATTTTGGGCCCCTAAAAAAAGGATCCACAGATTCTCCATTTGGAGGGAAATACAGCTGATGGTTCTTTACTGGCACAGAGTTGCGAATCTGCATCAAGGGATGAAAACTCAGCTGTGGTGGAGGGTTCTTTCCAGGAGTTTCTTCTGGTTGAAGTGATGCAGTTGACGGCTCAAATGGATTGTGATTATTGGGTGGCTGAGGTAATGACATCTGGGTGAAAGAGTCTTTTGTAAGAGAATTACACCTAGGGAGCTTAGCATTCAAATTAGCAGCTTGATGCCAGTAATTCATAAATGCATTTTTGCTATGAGTTGGAGGCATAGTGGGTTTTGAAGAAATGTCATGTTGGAACATTTTCTCAAAAGTGGGACCATTATTTGGAGCAACTAACATTGGCTGTGTGTCACGTCCCAATGGGGAAACATACTGCTGCATCTCAGCCTGGTTAACAGCAGGGTTTGGGCTGCGGTTTGAATAGGCAAGAGGTTCAACAACTGGTCTATTTTGTGAATGCTCCAAATGGCGTATAACAGAAGCAACATTAGCAGGATTCATTGTAGGCTGTGGAGAGGCAGCAGTTGATTCCAGCTTCCTAAAAATGTAGGGACGCATGGTTGGCCCAGTAAAATGCTTTGAAGTATCAGGAGCATCGGTACTCTTAATGGTGGGATTCTCCACCAAATATTGCATTGCCGTATGATCTGAAGCTGGTGGTAGAGCTGTTTTTGTGTAAAGTGGGCCATAATTATAACCCTTGCCCTTAATAAGGGAAAAGAGGTTTGAATCTGGAGATATAATAGATGACAGCATTTGGCCTGTAATTTTAGTCGTACTAGAAATGTCAAAATTAGACATTTGAAAAGGATGACCAAAATGGTGATGGTTATGGTGGTGGTAGAACATTGAAGGGGGTCCAGGGCAGAAAGCTGGACAGTGAAAAGAATGTGCATGGGACAAATTAATTGGAGTTGGGGAAGCCTCTATTGGGGCAGGAGTGTGAACAACTTTAGGAAATTTAGGGAGTGAAGGGGTAGGATACGTGTTTGGAGTCAAATCAAAGTGTAAGTTCATAGGAGGACCCTTAACAACTGTACCGCATGGAAGCTCAGAAGCTTGTGGCTTTTCAACTTGTTCAGACCTTTCTGAATATGTGGCGGACATGGAAGCAACAGCCCCAGAGGTGGAAACCATATTATTTTTGGGGACAGGTGGCATTTCTGAACGACGTGGTGGGAAGGGTTTGTACCATGGATAGCGGAGGAGCTGTGGTCCTGTTTTTCTTGTAGGGGCAGGTGTAAGCGGTTCAGGCTCTGGTTTTGGTGAAGCATGTGGTTCAGAGGGTCTCATTAGGGAGTGATTAGGCCAGTAGGGGACCTGAGGAAAGACTGCCGAGGAGGAAGCGACAAATTCAGGTTTTCCAGGATATAAAGGATACACCATATTGCTGGGAGGAAACATAGGTGCCCACTGCACAGGAGGGACAATGGGCACGGTGAAAGGCAACTTATCTTGAGGACTGTCTGTGGGTTTTAGTAAGGGAGCGATAGGGGCTGTAGGAGCCTTGGTAGGATGCAACAAAGGTTTTTTTGGATAAGGTGGCCCAGCTGCACTTTGATGAGTGGGGTCACAGGGAAGACCCAAGCTGGGCTTAGGGTACCAAGTTTGAGGACGTTTTGTGTAAACGGGTGCTTGTGGCCTCTGGGTAATAGCAGTTGGGGGACCCACAATTTTGGGACCTTGAGGAAGAATCGTTGGTGGTATATTTGGAGGAAAAAGGAGAAGAGGGTATCTAGGAGGTATGGGTTTAAAATCTGGCTGGCCAGGAATGTAATAAGGGAGGAGAGGAGTGGGCAATTTTTGAATTGAACTTGTGGAAGTTGTTGAACGACTTGCAGGAGTCTGTCTTGGCTGAGTGGTTTTAGTAGTTGTAGTAATTGTGGTGGTTGAAGTCAGAGCATGAGGTATAGAAATACTTTCGTTTTCATGTACAAAATCAGTTGTATCTATAGGAAGACTAAGCGACAGTGCTGGGCAGGACATATTAAACTCACTCTCCACTGCCATGCTGAGAGTGAACATCCCATCCTGTAAAGTAAGGCAAAAGATTAGTGTATTCGAGATGAGTGACTGGGTAAAATTCAGGTAAAAAGTAGAACATTGCATACCTTTGGCTCTGTGCATGGCATATATGGGGCATGGATGACCACACCTTCTGGATGTGACACCAAGCTGTATCCACATCTAGCTGACACTTTCAGAAGAGGCTGCCATTCATTCATTACTAGATTTAAGCAGTATTAATTCAATTTAGACCTGTAAAGCTCACATCAACCCATGTAAACAAACATGAACCTTTGCGTTACCTTTGATCTTCAGTTTCTCAGAGACTCCTCCAAGCAGCCTCACAATCATGCCATTAGTGTAGCAGGAGACCGTTGGCTCACTTTTTGCCGAGGTCAGTGAGGAACAAGACATTTTCACATGCAATCCCCACCAAAGTAAGGGAAGAACAAAAGTGTCTCTCTGAAAACACAAGGGAGGAGGTCAGACAGGATAATATATGCTATACTTGATTTCCATTAAAAAAATAAATGCAAACCTCGTGCATTACGTAACATCCATCATATGGTATAATTAAAACAAAGTCTCTCCAAGTTCTCAAGAACCTATGGCCACATTCTGAGGGCAACTGTGACAATGGAAGCGGTGGGACGCTTCCTAAAAAAACAATTTCATAATAACAGAAATAATCATTTTGGAAGGCAAATGACAAAGCTTGAGCCATAAAAACTAAGGCAATGGAGAAGCAAACCTCTGTCAATAAGAAAGTTGGACCCAAAAGGAGCCTCTCTTCCATGAATTGTCAACCTCATTGAATCTCCAACACAATCCACCTTGGGTTTCATTCCAAGTAGCCCTTCCACTCTTGAAGTATGAAGGGTGTTTAGACCATAAACCTGTCCCCAAAGAGGTTGCAGCTTCATCCAGCCTTTTGATAAAACATACAGAAAACATAAAACAGAAAGACAAGTTCAACTTGGAATAGTTAACAGCATGCTATTAAAACGAATACGATTTCTCTTTGCACGGAGGTGTAAGAAAAACGTTTTGAATGACTAACAATATGGACTAAGAACTACGTGTATTCTTCTTGCCACCCTGTTGAAAAACCAGCATATGCTGGTTAGGTATGTTTTGACGCTGGGATGCTGGTTTAAGCTGGTCCTTGTGCTGGTTTATGCTGGTCCTTGTGCTGGTTTATGCTGGTCCTTGTGCTGGTTTATGCTGGTCCTTGTGCTGGTTTATGCTGGTCCTTGTGCTGAGGACCAGCTTAAACCAGCATCCCAGCGTCAACACATACCTAACCAGCATATGCTGGTTTTTTTCAACAGGGCAGTGTTTGAAAATTGCCTATGCAATCTTTCATTCTGTAATTTTAGTACATTACACATGCATTCAGCAGATCACAAGGACGTCATTACCTGAATCATCTGATTGGTATGCGTTCTCATCAGGTTGACTGCCAGAACTGAGCCTCGAAGGAAGACGGACACTATCACCACCATGTGATTCTGAAGCGTGGTCTTGCCAAATAAGAAGGCGCCCAACCTGTGCTCCAGATTTCGGCTTCTCGTCCCCTCGATCAAATGACTCGCTTGTCCGTGCATTTTTGTTAAAAGAGCCCACTGAATCAAGACCTTTTCCCTCATTAAATACCACAAAACCACGAACTTCAACAAAGCTAAGCCAAATGAAAATAAAACACGTCAGGAATTGTTTCTCTTTCAACGCCATTCGACAAGACCGTTTTGCACACGCACCACACCACTGTAGTGTGTCGCAAAAACCCGGCTCATTTCAAGCACCTGAAATATATAAGATCCTACGTCTACAATTAGTGCACGTCTGGAAAATCCGAAGCACCTGTTAAACAGCCTAGTGAGGGAAAGGAAGGGATGTGTGCAATGAGTATGTGGGCATATAAAAAACTTCAGAAAATCATGAGCCACTTATGTATTTTTGTGTGCATGTATATATACCAGGGCTGTGCACAGGGGGTGGCCCGGTGGCTAGAGCCACTGCCCCTTTGCCCTCATCGGCTGAGTTGCTCCTCTCACCAATCCCCCCATTATCACCCCAGTTCAAAGCGGTCTGTTCTGCTCCGCAGCATTTCTCACGATCTGTGTGCCGCTCTCTGGAGTGGAGGACACAGTTCCCAAACAATGTCGTTGCATTAACAGGTAGATGCATTACAATCCACATTACAGTCAGTGGATGATTCGCTGAATTAGTAATTTGGTAGTTTGTTTTTGTATTTCTGTCGGTAATGATTTGCATTACCATTGATAATGATTTGATTAACAACAAAATATCCACGGTCTTAGAATTAGAATGTCTAATCAAATTATTGCACTCGATCAGATCTAATATAAATAACACAAAATTCGCTGTTGTTGGCACATTTTGTAGATGCCTTCGCAAAAAAAGACAGAGAGACAGAGAGAAAGAGCGAAGGGAGGCTGCTAAAGGCAGGCAGTTCAACATTGCAAACATGAATACAAAGCTCCAGCAAGCCAGCAGCTAAATCATCATATAGAATTTTTAGCAGTTTGTCACACTTTACTTCTTGTAATTAAGTATATTTCCCATTATAATCACTTGTCTTGATACTAGTAATCTACAACACATCATATTTTATTAAAACTATATTAATAGTAGGTCTATAAATAGTTAAAAAATAATATAAATGTTCTAAATGAGTTTTTATTAGTATATAATATAGATTTATGCTGTAAAATATTAAATTAAAAGTCTAATACTTATAGGGGAGAGTGGGGGTAAGATTAGCCATTTTTTACTTATGTGGTCCTCAAGATAAGTTAAAATGATGCAGAAGTACAATGAAAGTATCTATCCTATCCTAATGAAAGTATTCCTATCATTTTAAATGATCAGAATGTATCTATGACAAAGGGTTCTAAAATATGTCTTCTTATAAAAAAGGGTTCTCGTGGCTCAGTTTAGGGGTAAGTTGACCCGAGTCGAGTCAGTGGGTAAGATGCACCATCTGGGTGTAAAATGACCATCTGACCAAATCTGATTCAAACCCATGTGAAATACATAATAATTAAAAAACGAATTTAATAATTTCCTTTTACAAACAGTCATATTTCTTTTCATGAAGTTAACTTTAACATAAAACCAACCAGATGGAGTTTAAATGTCAATATTTAATTGTTCGCATTTCTGAAACAATATGTTGAACACCAAAGTTGTAGTCTTCCTAAAACAGACTAAACAGAGGCTTTGTTGGCCATTAGGGACTACAGGTGGGAAGATATATCTGATTATAATGCAATGAAAAGCATTTTCTGGTTCTTATCAGAGAAGGATTTGGTGCACTTGTACACTGTCCCTATCAAATAAACTACAAAATATGTATATATGATAAACTAAACCAGTAATATATCACATTAAAATACCAATTTATAATTCAGAGATTTAACTTAACTACAGTGCCTTATGATGGGGTAAGTTAAAATTCTGACTCAATTTACCCCACAGCATTTGGCTCAACATTTGAAGTGGATCAAAAAAGTTCATCAAATTGTCCTAAAACAAGAACGCATTTTGGGTTTAGGACAACTTTGATGAAAGGTTTTGATCCACTTCAAATGCTGACTAGTGTATACACTATATAGACAAAAGTATTGGGACACCCCCTTCTCATGAACAGGTTTGACTATTTTAGTAATTTCCGTAAGTACAAATCTTAATGTTTAAACATATAATGAGGGAATTGTGTGCTTCTAATTTTATAGCAAATTTGGACAGGACCCTTTTCTATTCTAGCATGACAGTGCCTCTGTGTATAAGGCAAGGTTCAAAAAGAAATGAATGATTCAGTCAGTGTGGAAGAACTTGACTGGTCTGCAGAAAGCAAAGTTCTAATCCCAGCTGAACACCTCTGGAGTGACTAGTTTTTTTTTTATTCGCTTTGGTACTATTTTCACAAGCAACCGTTACATTTTCAAAACTCTTAGTACTAATATCACAACAGATCATCAAAATGCACTTTTTTTTCAAACATTTCAACATATTTTCAATTGTCTTAGTACAATAGACACAGAGTACTCTTTTCACGACACAAAATAAGTGTTTAATTCATAGTAACTGCCTTTCATAGAGCTCTTACTATCAAACTTTTTATTTGCATATCTTCTCATTCAGTTTAATACATTTGTCTATTATTTAATCTAACTCATTTGAATGGTTAATCAGTCAATCATTTGGTACATCTATAGATATAGATTCAATAGATATAATTTCTAAAGAATTTGTTTGCAATTTAGGATTAACCAAATGTAATTTTTTTTTTTTACACTATAAGTGATTTATCTTAGATGATAACCACTACTTCGTAAGTGCGTGTCAGTGAATGGTTCATGGAAACCCCATGATATTTAGGACAAATGTATCTGAAATCCTTGTCCTTGTGGGAGATTTGTAATTTTTATGAGAAAAAACAGACTTTTCGTAGGGTATGTTTAGGAGTAGGGTTAGTGTAGGGGGAGAGAATATAGTTTGTACAGTATAAAACCCAATACCCCTATGGAATGTCACTATAATGACAGGAATACTTGTGTGTGTGTGTGTTTCTGTGAATTGTGGGGACTTTGCATAGACTATTACTTTTATACTGACCGAACGATATTTTCTATCCCCTAACCCCTAATAAACCTACCCCTTACAGAAAACCTGTTTGCATTGTTACACTTTCAGATAAACACCATTTACCATTTATTCCTCTCACCAGTCCCCACAATGTCAAACATTTCAGGTTTTACTATCCTTGTGGGGACATTTGGTCCTTACAATGTAGCATAAACAAGTACAAACACACACATACACACAACTGTTTATCAGGCCATCATAAATGGCATCCTCAAGTGGTAAATTCTCATTGTGAAATGTGAAAAATCTTCATTTTATATAAGCTAATTTTACCGGCAATAAGATTAAATCAAGTCATCTGAGATGTATAACACTTTAATGTTTTTGATTATAGCGACCCCTTCAGGATTACTTATGCCAATTACAAATGAATGAGGTTTAGAGCAGTGCAAGCAAAAAAAGTTCATACTAAATAAAACTGTTTAGGAAAACTAAATTTCTGCGACCTACCATGCCCTAGACTGTCGTCTGTTGACTTCAATTTCTACAAATTGATAGAAAGATGCTTGAAGACAAACAAGTGAACAATTTTCTGGTTGGAATAGGTTTATTTGATCTGTCTGTAAACAAGGTGGTTAAATCATGGCATTTGTTTTTTTTTTCCTTTCCTTCCACGCAAATTGAGTTGAATATCAGCTGGTCAGGTGTAAGAAGGGAGAGAACTGGACATAATTTGATGCTTTTCTTCAATCTGTACATTTTCCACTCGCCCTGGAGGTTGAATTGATGCCAAATATCCCAAAGGTGCCACTGAAGAATTGACTCTTCACAAGGCAGCAGTTAAAATCCATCTCACAGTAGCAACAGATCAGATCTACATTATGGCACAGGATACACAGCTTTATTTAACAAGTTTCCACAATACAACTGACTTCGACTAGTGGTCTTTTTCCAACTAATACCACCATATCCCAGAAAAAGTTAGTGTACACAGTTTACTTCAGTATCTTTTTTTTTCGTCTTTTTGTCTATTTAATGAAGCATTTGTACTGTGCTATGACAGTTTGATACATCGCAATTAAGTAGTTTACAAGGCAATGACTTCCAAATGGTTTCATTCTTGAAAATAACAGTCAAAAATGTTTAAGAATTTTGAGGTGACATGTTAACAATAAGACTGCCATTTCATCTATTCAAGACATTCATGAGAGGAACTAGTTATATATTTGATTTTTAATTTCAAACTGTTACGCCAGTAATAGTGTTTAACAGAAATGAGCTTGGTGTTACAAGGTGTATTTGAAGTGTTGAGAATTTAGTGTTATAAAGTCAGCAACAGATGAAGCTAGCAGTCATCCTTCACAACAACAGTTTGGAGCAATTCTGTTAATCCCACTGAATGCAACAAAAACTTGGTCCTATTTGAGAACCCAAAGTGGACAGAACCAGAGGTACATAGGGATGGCAGCACTTTTGTCTTAAAAAAAAAAAGAAAGAAAGAAAGAAAGAAAACAAAAACAAAGGACAAACAAAAAGAAAAACATTTTACAGGAGCTGGCAAACAACAGTTCTAAGTGCCTGAGCTATTGTAGCGATGGAATGTCCATACAGAGTCCAGGATGCAAAGACTCTTGGGTAACAACTTAACCCAAACCTTGTAAATGCTGATCTGCCACCACACTCAAAATATTCCAACATTAGACCAATGACTTACAAGACCACATCCAAATACTACAGCAAAAGCATTTGATATCAAGGTTCTCAAACTAAAGAAGGTACAGGGCATATAATAGTAGCTGGGGCGAAGGTGGTGCAGTTCACGAGGGCAGGGGCGCTTACTAAATTCATTCAGGATCAAACCGAGCAAAGAAAATAAAAACAATAATAAGGAAAAGAAGAAATAAGAAGTGTTACGTGACTGGTTAACTTCATTCTCAAAGCTGAGACAAGGTGGTGTAGTTAGTTACTGGAAAACGATGATATTAACCTAAAAGATATGCATGCACTTTTTTCCATCCTGGACATGCTGTATACAAGGAAGACCATGTGCGCTCAGCAAGGGCTCGAAGCACTCGAGAGGCATCAATCTATCTTAAGCTGGTTCATTAGCAGTGCCCAAGGAAAAAAATAGGACCATGTAGTGACTTTATTTACTTGTGAATTTACACAAATTCTGGGTCGTCCAATTTTTTTT